AGGAGCTTGATACTGAGTGTCTAAAATACTCATTTTCCTTTTGATTCCAGGCGGGAGCAGGACTTCATACTAGTAGTAGTCATTAACTTAGTTGTATGTAATTTTGGGATTTGGACTTAAGGGAATGAATTTTCACCGACATTGTTCAAATTCTGTCATGTAGGCAGGTAGTGGAATTTGAATACTTGTAGGCAGTGTCTAGAGTGTCCCCTGCCTGTAATCCATTCCACTAAGTAAAAACATGAATCTTTTTCAAGATACCTTTTGAGTCCTTAAATATCTCTAGGTGGCAAATACTGGGAAATTCTCAACTTCTTCAGTTCTTTTTCCCAGATGAGAGAGGTGGGGAACTGGAACTACTAATGCATCAATACAAGTTGGAATTTTTTTCTTCTAATCAAAATGTAGTTGATTTTTTTTTAATGTTGAGTCAGTGTGGTCAGAGTTTCAAAATCACATGAGTTTTATTTTAAACTTCCCTACCAGCTTTGAGTTGCGTGCTGCTGATTAACCACTACCTGTAAATTCTGTCTCTGGCTGTTGACATTCTGTATTGTACTAGACCTGCATGTCTGTGTGCTCAGTTTTATAAATCGAAATGCTACAAAACAAGGATTGTGCTAAAACAATGTATAGGCTGCTCGGATGGGGTCGTTATCTATTTCCTTTCTGTAAACTTAACGGTTTGATTGCTGTAGAAAAGTACCCTTTGAGACACGGCAGTTTTAAGACGTGATAATCTTATTTTTCTAGAGTCACCGAGAGTGTAACTTTTTGTCAGGTTACCTCACTGATTTGTGGGAGAGATGGGATTTCCTTCCAGGAGAAATTTGAAAGTTTGAATTAAAATTTGAAATTCTTGTAGGCTTTTAATCTTGAGTTATTACCTCCGTCACGGTGTCTCACACGGTCCCAAAGGCTGTTTCGCACTTCGCCACACGCTGCTCCCAGCTGCCCCGCGCTCGGAGCGTTCGCCATCCCGTGGCCCTCGCGGCCCCGCTCCCCGGGGCGCGGTGTGCGGCCGCTCCGCGGCGCTTTGCGGCACGAAGGCGACAGGCGG